TTGGACATTTATTTATGCGAATCCTCGCGCTGGCAAGCATACTGCCCCGCGCTGAGAACATAAAGAGCAGTGCTACACCCTTTTTTCACTTGTGCCTTTCAGAAGAACGACAGCCACTGACCGCAAAGAAACAGTCGACCCGGGAAACTCGGGCAAAAGCCTCGATTCTGTGTATCAATCCGTGAATCCGTGAATCCGTCAATGACCTTCTCTAAGCGGTGGTTGCAATGCCGCTCATGAGAAGTTTAAAGAATCTTTTGGCCTCTTTTTGCTGACAGTACATTCTGCCCAGATCATAAACAACATCGACCCAACTTTCTACAAAGCGAAGCATGAGACTGGGAATCCACCCACCAATGCCTCTCCACGGAACTATAAAGGAACAACGGATGAACTGACCTTGGCAAAGTGTTGTGCCGATAGCCGGGCCCAGTGATACCCTCTAGCGATCGTGTCGCTGCGGGTTTTTACGGGACTCCGGCTGTCGTTTCGTCTGGGACGTATTGTGTTGCCTTTGTTGCATTATGTCTGTTGAGACCGACCAGAATGTGATCCAAATGTTGGAGAACCTGGGTGCGGTTTCTAAACATGGTTGGAAAGCCAGATTCGACCGGAAACCTGAAGTGCAATGTAAACCTTTCGGCCTCCCTCGTTTGTCTCAGATTAAAAGTTTCATACCAATGGCATTTAGGTGAGTTTCCGCTTCACGTTTAGGGGCGTGGCGGGTATTAACTATTCTCCGATGCTGATATTGCTATTAGGCCCTGCCCGAATTGACTGTTTGGCCTTTCGTGCTTCTAATCACCACGCTATTCAAACCCCGTGTGCACTAACGTATGGAGGACATTGATCTCAGGTTCTATTCCTGATTCGCAGTGTGCACTGTAGTGTGCATGTTTCGAACTCACCATGGTAATGCAAGGACCCATGGCAGTCTTTTTGGGTGGAAGACAAAAGCACTGTGAGTTGAAGTGGGCAAGCTTGTACATTATCAATATATACTCGTAGGTCGGGCGAAACGGCAGGCACGTTACACTGTGGAGTAATGGCACCGGGACTGAACTTGAGGATTTCAGTCAGCAGAAATTCACTGTGGTCACAGCCGTCAGAAATGATCCGAAAAACAGTATTTCGAATAAAGTCTAGTAGATGCTTAGAATCCCCGTCTTTGAGATTAAGGCGTCAATATGACGACATTTTTAGCCATACGGTGGATTCCCAAACAACAGCCCAGGCGTTCGATTTACTGAGGTTGTGCTGTGTAGCCCTGTGTTAGGGGCTGTCAAGTAGTTGCACATCATTTTCAAACAAACAGAGATTATTGAGGTCATCCGCTATGTTGTTCACCTAGATTGGACACAGTAGAGGACTCGACACTTAACCCTTGGGTTCTCCACTGACAGTGACCTCTAGCCTGGACCTGGGACCCTCCACTGTGAACAAGCGCCACCTTCTCACTAGAAAATGGTATAGTTTGACGTTCACCCGATGTGAGAGCCTACAAGATTTAATCTTATCCGATCACAGTCTGTGGTTGACCGTGTCAAACGGTTTACGGTTGTCTAGATAACAGTTCATCCTCTTTCAAGTACACCCTTTTCTACCCCGCCCCACCCTAATATGAGTATTCTCTGTTGGGTCCAGAAATAGGGTTGACCGCTTTGTTCGCAATGCATCAGACTGAGCCGCGGCTTTTATGCGTCCGACTTCGACGAAAATCCTAAACACCTCGGAGTCTGTTATCGAGCCCCGAACACTGGCCTACTTAGCTGCCTTTAATGTTCACTGAATCAGGCAAGGATAAATGTAGCTATTGCTCGTACGCTGGACTCCCTTTGCATCGATGTATGTTGACTCCCAGAAACAAGGGTGCAGAGATCAATTGTTGTAATAGGGCTGACTGCCCCTTTGTTCTCTTCTCGCTTCCGGTTGCGCCCCTCTGTTAATGCGGAGGCCTCTCCGGCTGATGCTTGTGTTGGGCCACCCAGCGCAAATTTCTCTGCTTATTTGGTTACCTGTTGATATGCACCTCCGTGCTGTTCGTTTGGCAACGCTTATGGGAGAATTTGTAGAAAGTGCGGTCCGTCGCTCTCCAGTTGTCTTATCGACTTGTCCACCTCTCGGTCGCTTGCACTCAGCACAGGGCTAAGCGAAAAGGGCTCGGCGGGGCAGATGGTCTACTGGCATGCGGAGTACATGTCCTAACCAGCACACCCTATGAAGCATAATTAATCTGTCAGGAGAGTTTCTGCTTCTTCTGGCGTGTCTCTGCATGACCAATCTGACGTCTCCACCAGACCCGACTAATGCTTCAGAGACACTGGTAGTCAAACATTGACAAGTTTTATATGTCTTCTGAGCGCACTGCAGCTGTGTAAACTCTGCTCTTGGCAGACAAACTGACGTTTTGTCGACGCCATAGGTGCCGGAAGTTGCCAAAAGTTGTCATTGTCTTCCCGATTCGCGAAGTAATCTAATCTCCAGCTGGTCCACCGGAAATTTGGCCTCTGCGGATAGTCGATGTGGGTGTCTTCAGATTTTTGACTGTCGATGTCTCGGAAGTGTTGCTGGTATTGGATGGTGTCAATAGATTAGTAACTAGGAAAAGCAAGTATTTGGTTGTGTGCTAGACTACGGACGACATCCAGCATCGTCGGCTACGGCAGCTCAGTCGTGTTCTAGGCATGGCGAAATATTGTCCACCAAAATGAGTTTTGGTGCCCATGTATCCTTAAGAACGGCTCGAAGTGTGAGGTGAACATTCTATGACTGAGGCTGTGAACGAAACTACAAGGAGTTTGGGTGTTGATGGTGTGGTACGCTCTCCTGGATGGGGTCTCCGTGACCCCTCCTGCACTTGTCTGGAAGCATTGTAGGAAATTCCAGTGGGTTTTGTGCTGTCAGCTTCTTTTCAGATTATCTAATTGAGCTCTTGGAGATGTAGGAGCCTCAAACTGCTTGCGACAGGCCAAAACCAGGACCTTCCCTCACCTGCTTCTGTTTGTCCAAGTATAATTCAATAGACGTCGCGGTTGCACGTCATGAAGCGTCGGTGTCAACACTGATCTTTCGATCTCTGGTGATGGCGAAGTAATCCTTGCATGTGTCTGCACCACCTCGATGGAACATCTCATAGTTGAGATCCAGCTGCAGTGTGGGATGAAACAACCCACAAGAACTCGATTTTTCATGAGCTTGCTATGATCAGTTCGTTGTTATGTGTGGCTGCGTCTTCCTGACAGCCCGTTGTTTCTGATACTTCTCACCCACGTCTATTATGAAAAGCCACTAGTCCCCAGTCAATTGGAGGCGATTACCGTACCGACTTACTGTGGTGCATCATTATGGGGAAGATAACCAGTGTGCAAGAGTATTATATATCTAGGACACTCCCTTCAGTTAAAGTAGACAATTCCATAGAACCACCGCAAAATTTGTGGGAAATTGTTCCGATACGCGGAATTCTGTTGGCGCTGGCTAGAGTGCGTGATTCTTAACTGCCACTCCCACGAGGAAACAGCTCCTTGGAGGAGGCAATTTGGCCGGTCTTTCTCAGAGGAAACATCATAATAATCCAAGTTTTTAGACAGCAGTTCGCACACGTCTTATCCGTCAACCCGGTGGCGAGGGGACTGTGTTTTTCATATATTTGTTCGTGGACCAGCTAGGTATGGGACTCGGTGGGCGTCATGGTGGAACACCGTGAGGCATGCCAGTGGACTATGGAGGTACGGAGACTCCTGCACAACGACGAGATCCTGACTCTGCGATATGGTGCTGATGTTGATGCCCGCCATCGCACACACCATATCCACGTTTGATCTCTAGTTGATACCAAAAGGTGCACGTTTTCACCCAGTTATTGGCTCTGTCACGGAAGAGGATATCTGGTTTATCTGCATGATTTCCCCGTGATGGATGACTGAGACCTCGAACCTTTAAAGATACTTCACTTTCATTTGCTACTGGAGTTTGAAGCAAAAAAGGATATGATGTACAACCTATCTGTCACCGGTTTCTGCTTCACACCGCGTTGCGCGGTTGCTCACAGGATGCTCAGTTTGGTCAGGGTTTGGTCACTGCTCTGTAGTGCATCCATGGTCCACTAACCAGGTGTTTCCTGTGATTTCCACAGACCCCATTAGAGGGTCCTCCCATTCTCGGCCCTGCCAGAGGCGAGGCCTTCCAGATGTTGACAGGTAGTTAGGTCAGTTGGCTTGTATTGCAATCAACGGTAATTTGGCCAATTTTTCGAGAGATTTGTGGGACCACATCGTGAAGGCGGTTGTAGCACACAATTCACTGCGGGTTGTCGGGATAAAGCCGGTGTGTGGGTGATGGTGACGATCGTTCGGAGAAATTATCCCTTTCAGCGTGTCAAAGTCGGTATGAGCGAAATAGGCATCCAGGTAGTTAGGGCCCTTTTTGTATGCTCCTTGTCAGCTTATGTTATCACGTAATTCCCCGTGGTAGACCTAATGGACATCAGCGATTCACGTACAGTGTGGGGAGTTTTCAGATGACTTTTGGACAACATGGCCTTAATTCTTGCCTGATTCTGAAGTTATTCTAACCTCTTTAGTCCGTTAAGGTGTGTGCACCTCTTGGAACTGTTAGTTTGGAATTGTTTAGCTCTTAGACAGACAATAACCAGTCAGTCAGATCACAGTGCCTAACTAGTCCTTGTCCCCTTACTCTAATCAGGATGTCACGGGAAAACAATGAGTAGGATTGATTAGGTGGACACTGTTTGTTGACAAAACTTTTTGAAGTCGCCCTGATACGTTGTAAAAACTGTTCCACTTTTCCCCAACCAAATCAAAATATGGTAAAACGATTTTCCCGGTTAAATTATCACCTACTTGATTGTCACAGACCAACTCAGCATTGAATCCTGCATCCATTCCCATTCAGCTATAGCGCCCTTTCCGCGCCTAACTGTCATGCCACCCGAGGGAAGCACGAGGGCTGGGAGACTGCTAGGTTGCTCAAACCTAGAGAAGGGAAGAGGCAGAAGTCTGGTTCGAACCACTTACCTTCCGGTCAGTAAATTAACGCTCTTACCATTAAGCCATCTCGCCCCAGTGGGAATGAGGACCCCATCAAGAACAAACACCGCGCAAAATCTCACACGGCTTGCATTATGAACTCAGGGTTGGTAGCGACTCTGTGACGGACCATCATCATTTTCAGCGGCACAGTAGTTCCAGCTGCCACAGTTTCGTTCACCGGTGATTTGGGGTGGTGGGGAGGTGATGAATAGCCACTCCTTGGAGGCGGTAGTTAATACAATTGATACGCCAATACAAGGGTGTCAGTGAACTTTTCACTGGGGAGATTGAAAAGGGAGCTGTGCTTTGAAGAAAACATCTTGGATGTATGCATGCTGTCGAGCACGCGACTGGGCCATGCCTGACAATTTCTCTAATCATTGATATACCCCGTTTCGGGGTTCTCATCCAGGAAGACTGCAATAACCAGCGCAGCTGAGTTTTCTGGTAATGGCTTTCATACTTCGCTGCCAAGTTATTGTTTGAGTCCCTGGCTCTTCCCTAATTTCGCATCAATGAGTTCGGTCAGATAGGTTAACAGGGATCATCCCTCTTTTAAAAAGGGCTAAATGCAGACCGTCCGGTCCTGATGGCCTCTCATGTTCTACTACGGATGTTTCATACTGACAAGCGGTTAAGTTTTACGTTACATTTGCCACACACTGTCTCCAAAGACTGTATTACACGAGGCCAGCTGAACTACTTTTCGAACTGTTCGTACCATATTCCATTTGGCTCATCCACGAGTGAGTTATTGAGTTGTCTCCTTATGACTTTTGGTTGGCCAAGACACCGGGATGCGGTGCAAGGGTCAGCTGTGTCCAGAGCATCTTAAGGGACAACCCGCATGTCACAGCACTCTCCCAATTGATATTATTCTTAACACTTCTGAACCATAGTCGATCACGCCTGATGTGACGCAGCTGGAGACGACGCAGAACACTTTTTAACTTGTCGTTTCACTGATCGTTGCTTCAATTGGACCAGTCGGTGGCATTAATTGGTGTAAGATGCTTCGGTTTCCGGTAGCAAAAGCCCTCTTCACCTCAGCTTTCGATGTCGACCAGAGCTCACGTTCTTTCTCTAGGCGCTTCACTATTTGGTGTTCGAGAGATTTGCGTTCACCGTCGTTTTTCTCTTCTCTTGGCACGCACTTTCCGGCATGATTCAAGACTAGCGATCCCGACGATCTTCAGCGGTTACTTGATTATATCGGAGAAATCGGACAGCGGTAAATGGCGCTAGCACAGCTGGTTTCACACTTTACCACACCTAATCCACGTTCTCCCCACCGGCACAGTGTTTGTCTACTGGACAGTTGTTAAATTAGTTATGGTAGTTCCCGGAAGATGGCGATTTGGCATGTTGCTTGTTAAAATGCGAGTGTCCGAAGTGAAGCGAACTGTCAGGCGTGCTGGCTTCATGGCGTGATTGGCGTCAAGCTGTGCCTCAAAAGGAAAGGCAGTCTTGAACTGTGTCTGGTAGCCACGTGGTCCACTTTTTGTCCACGGTTGATTTGCTCTTCGTGGCCGTCAGGTTACGCGATGCAAACATTTATGGTGAAATTTCATACTGAATAGAATCAGTTGGTGATCAGCACACAACTGGAGGGGTCGCCTTCCGTTGTCCATGCGACGTGCATCGACTCCAAATGGCTTCCCAAGGAGCTCAGACGATCGGCATTCATATCGCCTACAAGGATCACAATATCAGTGTTGCTCCGCGAATGAGCGCGGATAACTCTCGATAGAATGTATCCCTCTGGTAGTCAGAACTACAGTCCGCTGGGGTATATGCCGACACTGCTTACAGGTGGTTTTTAAAAAATCGATTTGCATTAACTTTGATTGAGTTAAATAACCGAACGGTGCGAAGGTAATTGTTCATGGAATCCAGTTCAGCAAAGCGCGTTCAGCATCCAGTTCAAGCGCGTTCAGCTCTGGGTCTGAGTGCAACTCCGGCGCCACATATCCCGCAATTCATCGTTTATGGATCTCCGGACAAACGGAGAGTGGAACGTGGAAGAGCTGAGCTCGTTCTCGGCGTTATGGTCTCAGTGAGCATTGTCTGTTTGACAATTTGACAGAGTGCGGACGCGGAAAGGATCTCATGGATTCAGCAGTGTTATTTTGCTTGTTGTCAATGGGCAGCGGGGTATATTAGGCACATCTATCAGACGACTGGTGATCAAATGACCCAGAAACGTTTGCTTGTGCGGTAGGAAGGAGTGAGTGAGGGACATCAGTGAAGACAGAACTGTGCAGGCAAGTGATACTTCGCTGTTTCGGGAGTTTGATTGAGGCACTTCACCTTGAGCCTTTGACTCAAATGTCCGACCCAAGTGACAGTAGGAGAATATAGAGATTTGGTGACCCTACCCCATAGCCTCTGACTCAAAAGTCTCATCATCATCATCATTGTCAGCTGCAATAACTGCGTACTCGTCGTACAGTGGTTGTAGCTGCCGCAGTTTCGTTCTCCGATGATTGGGGGGGGGGGATAGGTAGCTGCGTATTGGAGGCGGGAGATGATAAATTGGTGCATAAATCCAGCACTGTCAGTGAGCTCTCAAGTAGGGGAGGGAGGTTGGAAAAGGAGCTATGCATTGAAGACAATAGCTTGGATGCACAAGCGCCATTGAGGGCGCGACTGGGCCATGTCAGACAATGTCTCTAGCCATTGATGTGGTGGGTTATCTTGATAGAACGTAGGCTACGTTTGGAATGCGTCGCGTGGAAGTCGATACCAATTTTTGGAAAAAGTGTGAGATCGTTCTGTGAAGATTGACGCCTCACCACATCAGTAGCCGTAACTAATAAGATCAACCTTAAGGGATATTTTTTAGTTGCTGTTGAATTCGGATTAGAGGGAGGAAGGGCTTATCAGAATAAAGTGGGACTGAATGAAAACAGAAATAAGAGTGCAGTGTACATCTGGGTTGTTTCTTGGAGAGCCGATCCGTAGCCATTGAGTGGTGGGTTATCTTGATAGAACGTAGGCTACGTTTGGAATGCGTCGCGTGGAAGTCGATACCAATTTTTGGAAAAAGTGTGAGATCGTTCTGTGAAGATTGACGCCTCACCACATCAGTAGCCGTAACTAATAAGATCAACCTTAAGGGATATTTTTTAGTTGCTGTTGAATTCGGATTAGAGGGAGGAAGGGCTTATCAGAATAAAGTGGGACTGAATGAAAACAGAAATAAGAGTGCAGTGTACATCTGGGTTGTTTCTTGGAGAGCCGATCCGGGTGGTGAAAAAATAATCATCATTAGAATGGGTCAATACACATATTGATAGACAATGAGTCTAGCTTTCAAGCGATAGTAGCTTTTATCCTGCTTGTTTCGCGGTACAGAACAGCAAAGACAGGACCACTTCCGGGATACCCAGGGCTGGTTTTGCTAAGCAATGCTTGGACTTATAGGAAAACTGCGCTGCCGTTAATTATAGATAGATTTACGAAGTTTCTTCCTCCGAATAACTCAAACAGAACTTTGCGCGGTATTATGGTATGATTCTCTACGTTGGCGTTCTTCACTTACACTATCCATTTCGCGTTTTCATTTACTTCGTTTTTCAACAACAGGTACACATTCAGATTCTACTTGAGAAAGCGCTTAATTGAGAAGCGGTTGCCCTTCCTCGATCCTAGTCAACATGTACCTTGGAAACCGATCTACGGGGTTCCAATGGGTGGTATCGGGTGTGGTGCGATAGGTCGTGGTTTCCGAGGCGAATTCGTTCGGTCTAGTCTCATTCCCGGTATGTATTCTTACGATCCGCAGCCTGCTGATCAGGTGAGTGGTTTATTTTTGCTTCAAAGAATTCCCCAGTCGGTCGATGTATCATGACTCAGTATCGTGTAGAGTATAATGGAGTGTAAACAGACTGGTTTAAAGGCACATCTCACTTCGAATTCCAGCGATGAAACCGTTGTTCAGATGTGTTGCACGCCACTGGTTTTGTACCCATGGTTTGGCAGCGTCTTCGTCATCCTTCCTTTTTACGATGGACTTTACCTTCTACTACTGCTTAACACAATCATTTTCTGTCTGATACTATGAAAATGATCCGGTTAGAGTCACATCGAGCATGTCCTCTCAAACAGTTCAAATTCCAATTTCGTTCAACCTGATTTTCGGTCACCGCCATTCACCATCCACCATGAACATTAATCTTTGAAACGTCTCGGCTAGTACGATCGTCGGATTACACATTATACATCCAAACAAACCCAAACAATACTCCAAGCTCAAGACCGTACAGGTTGAAGTCTGCACGTATGTAGAAACACTATACTGCCGGCCTAATGAAAGCAATCTTGTCGTTGCAGTGGTTACTTTTTTGTTGGTACTCATCACGAATGCCTTCTCGACTTGCATCCGGAAAGTGCACCAAAGTATCCGATGTACACTAAGTGACAGAGCGGCAAATTTGGACAGGTAAGCAACTGCATGCATTAGTGACAGCGTTTGGACGAGTCATCGTTGGTTCATCCGGTATCAACAGAGGCAGACCACATGCTGAACTTTGCTGACGCACACGAGGAAACAGGCGTGACGTGTTTCATATGTTTGAGCTCAAGATTAACAGTCAAAGGTTAGGAAATGAGGCGCCTATTTCGATTGAGAATAAGCAAGTCTTCTGCTTGTAAAGTATCAGCTGACCGGCGAGAGGGTCATCGATTCGTTCCACGACTAAGTCAGGGAAGTTCAGGATAGTGCGCAGTTGTGCGGACAAGTCTGAGGAGCTACCGATTAACTATTGCCGGTATCCGGATTTGGCGAATGAAGTCCACGGAGTATGGCTACGGTTTCGTCCGAACGTTTGTTCTCTTTTGTTGCGAAGAGACTCAATCCGTCGCGATCAGACTAGACCCTATCATGGTGCGACGGTTTGCTTACCTCGTTAACCCCTCTGAGCTGTACTGGATGGTACCCGGGCAGCTTTCACAAAGTCTTCTCGAGTGACATTAGCCTTAGAGAGGGTGAAATAGGCGACGTCGTGAGCTTTTGTTGTGTTGTTTCCGAACACATACACGGAAACCTCTGGACTATCACCTGATGCGAGGCGCTATATCCTTTCTGCTTCGGAGTACATTGCGGCTAGACGATCGATTGGACGCGGCTTGTGGGTGGCTAATGAGGCATCAGCTTAGTTGACTCATGAAAGATCCTTGTGTAGTCATGAGAATATATCTGAAATATCTTTCACGTCTTTTTCCGGTAAAGCAATACATGCTCACAACTTCAAAGACAGGACCCTAAGTCAGTTGGAAGGCATCCGTACAGGGGACCGAAACCATGTCGTGCAAACGAAAGTCCGTAATGTCGGTCACCGGCCCGCCGTTGTCGGGTGTCAATTGTCAAACCACATCTGTGACCGATTTCCTCTGGTTATGGTATACTTATCAAGAGAGTGGAGTTTAGGGGAAACATTGTATTTCGTTTCGTCACTCATTAACACTGACTTTCTGAGGAAATTTGGGAATCGGAATCGAGATTTTGTCCTGTAATTGACTCCAATATATGCTGAAAAGCCAAGAAGCAGATGTATCATCTCTGCCAAGAATCATCAGTGATGTGTATCTCACGAAACTTTAGGGAGTTTCAAACCTGCGATCTCTCTCCCTATTCGTTAGGGATACTGAACATGTATGTCAGTCTCGGTGGAATGACGTGATACATACACCTTTACAATATAGGATTCAACCATGAGGCGTTTGCCTGAGACCCGTAAAACCCTTCTCTCAACTCTACTTGCCTTGTCTTCAGAACGCTTTAAATTGGCTTCCTACCTTCTTCCGTCCGAATAGATTCTATCCTAGCACTTCTCCCTACGAAAGTTTTGCAGAGTGATCCGTGAAAACCACATGCAATTTTCAGACCAACGAACATGATTGGATCACTGAGTGACGCCTGGTATATGGTGTTTGATGATCACTGAGATCTTTTCATACAGAAAGTGCGACGGGATATTCGGCAGTTTATTATTTTCTGTATTGATTCATACCCTCCGTTCAACCGTAAACGCTTTATATACATGGACATTCGTCAACAGGCTATGTTTTCCCGGCGACCATTTGATGCGCATCACTTGCGGAAAAATGGACATCTCATCAACGGAACGCGTGGTGTACTTTCACTGGTCGTGTATGGCTGTGTATCATTAAAAAGTTCCTCCGTAATCGAGGTATGTAGATAAACATTCTCTTCGAAACAAAAACCCACAAAATCGCAGAACTATTGGGACAGTATCGGCTGGCGGAGGCCTACGGAAAATCCGAATCAATTGCACTATTCTGTGGGATCGGTGGTGTTTGTAGATATCAGGGTTTGCCGTTATCTGCTTTCCACAACAAATGCGGGCCAGCTTAGCGTATAGTGGTCACTTTAGCACTGTACACTGAGTATCAAGTTATACCTTGCTGACTAGAAAATCGAGTTTCCCACAATTTCTGCTCAGTAGGTGTAGTTCATTATTAGTGGGTTTCATTTGACAAAATCTATCGTCTGACGTGCAACACTCGACATCTCGCACAGGGTACCTTCTTATTAATATGACCTATTCCCGTCAGACGGTCCATAGTTTTCTCCTTTCAGGTTGGTAAATTTGCCTGTTTCAGTGTTAGCTACGGTACTGCTCATAATTTTCTTAACTCTTTTTTGGATACTCGTTGCACTTAGTAGCCTTTTGGGGTTTCCCAACGAGACCGCTAGCCCGGGACAGTCAGGCCTAATTTTTCAGTCAAGTTAAAAATCATTATTTTTCATGGCCTGTGAGCAATCAGTGCCGAACAGACGACACGTAGACCGGAGATGGCTCGGTGGTTAGAGAGCGCGTTTACTGATCGGAAGGTCCGCGGTTCGAACTCGGCCTCTGCCTCTGCCTCTCGATTCCCCCTGTCTAGACTTGGGCAACCTGGCAGTATCCCGGTTCTCCATTCGGGTAGCATGGCAGCTAGGCACCGAAAGTGTTACAGCTGAACAATTTACTTTTATATTTTGCACGGGGCAGAGGTGATTGTTACATGGAGAAGTTCACTTTTATACTTGTTTTTTGCCTGCAGTAGTCAGTGGGTCCACTAGACACTTTTTCGTTGCATTTTAAATATGAAATCCTGGTGATTTCCCGCCTGGTAATTTCCCCTACTTGGAATTTTCATAGCTCAGTACGAGCACGGTCACCTACCGCTTGTTGTTTGTTCCAAAACTTCTAGTTCATTTTGACAATCAGAAAAGGAGAAGAAACGCTATTCCATCAAGTGCTATCACCACAAACCAGTGTACCAGCATTCGCCAATGGATTGCGCTCTTGGAATTGGGGTTTTTCCGCCCAACATGCACACTACATCGGACTTTATCCGCGTTCATGGACTGTTTATGAAGTTCCACACTTAAATCTGATTTTAGTCTGTCATCAGGTAAGCTCCTAACTTCCACGGTCGCTTCTTTTTCTAACTGATTGGTTACATTCAGGAAACTGTTCGCTTGTAACATGATGCAATGATAAAGTGTAATTCTCGACTTAGTGGACCAATGACCAATAGTTGCGGCTGGGTTTGATTTTTGCAGGATGGCCAGTTAAACGTCCTGGACCTTGTTACTCTATGCGGATGCAAATTCACAGATGATTCGTTCATCGTCATCATCATCGACAGCATGACATCAATGTTCAACACCGATGCTTCACTGGCGTACAACTATGATTTATTTGAAAACTTTATTGTAGAGAAAAGAGTAAAGGTGGAAGGGGGAGGGACTTAGTGCTAGCTTAACACAATCATTCCTAGGTGCCTACACCTCCAGACACTCACTCAGGCAATCTGGATAGAAACTGACAACATGAACGCCACTGACATCGGTTGGCAGCCATATCTTGTAGTGTCTCCAACCAGGCACAGTGAGGATCACGCGGTCCCCATCCTGGAAGGCGAGTAGCACCGACAGCACCCAAGCGTTTCGTGATCTCCTTCATACTCCTCCGCCAAGTCAAGGGTTGGCCACCTCTCTGTTTACGCCACTCCGAATTGGGCATGGAAAACAGCACTCTTTTCGGCAAACGATGGTTCGGCATA